GGATCCCCCTAGAGTCTACACTACCTATGAGTATGCGACTTCTACCCTCGAACCCTAACCTGCCAACTAGGATTGTCCCACAGTTTTACCTGTTTGAAGACGCTCCTAGTCATCTACGAATGCTCCACCGAGAATAAAAGACACGTGAGTACACGTGCTCCACCTCGAGAGGAAGTGTCCTACCGCCAACCTACACCGACTCTACCCGGTGAAACCCGACACCTCATAGCTCACACCATCTCCTGAGCATCCTACCCGAGGAAGCTCCACCTAAATGTGGAGACCTCACCTCCTGACCTACCACCGAGAACCGAAGCAACTTCGGTTACTCCTCCGAGGTCAATCCGTCCTTCTACCTCAGACTCTCCATACCTCGTCATCCGGGATCTACAAATCCTCTATGTAGTATCCCTACCTACCCGCGGAACTAATCACTCCACCTGGTCCTTGGCCTTCTCCTACAACCCGATTTCGAGGTATACCGAGTTAGAAAATCTAACTCCATCATCATAAGACGATAAGACGAGAGTCTAAAACTGACTCTACCCGAAAGACTTAACCGACCCTAGAAGTGATGCAACATGACACGAGGGATGAGACCGAATCCTAGGGGACTTAACCCTAGGTATATTTCTACCTAGTCGTGCTTGACACACTCTAACCTTAGTCTATCGGTCCTAAACCTAGGTACGTCTCTACCTACTCAGACCTACTAGACTAAGAGAACACGACCTGACTGGACTTAACCTAGGTACTCAACATACACCGATCTAACGGACTTTAAACCAAGCCTAATCGGACATCACCCTAGGTACATCTTACCTAAACGGATCTAATAGACTTCAGACCAGACCTGATTGGACTTAACACAAGGTATATTTCTACCTAACCGATCTCTTAGACTCTCGCACAGACCTGATTGGACTTACCCTATGCATAATTTTATCTAACCGACCTATTAGACTCGAACCTACCTTAAGACATGATTACGTCTAACCAGACCTAACTTAAGGCTAATCTGATCTGATTACGTCTAATCAGACCTATAACACCGAGTCTACAAGATCCCCAACAAAGTCCTAACCAGTCCTACGATTCCGAGTCTACTTGGTCCCTCACAAAGTCCTAATCAGACCTAACTCAAGTACTATTTAGACCCCTCACAACCCTAGTTAAACAACCAAAAGCCCAAACTAGACCAGAAAACCTAATCAGATCTAAGCCAATCCTAATTGACCTAACCAACCCCTGATTAGTTACCCTAAGTCCTAGTCAATCACCTAAAAGTCCTAATCACCAAACCTAAGCCAACTCTATTGACTTACCAACTCCTGATTAGATTTTTAGTACCCTAATCAGACCTAAACTAAACCTAATTGACATAATTCTCCTTTGATCAGATCCTTTTATCGCCTAGAACCAACCCCTACTGACCTGTCCTGATTTAAACCGACCTATACAGATCTATACCTAGTGTTTCTAAAATTAACCAACTCCTAAACCAACCCGTTTTAGCCAAATCCCAACTAATCAGACCTAATCGGTCGAAGTACCGGACTCTATGACTCAAAACAGGCATTCAGAAGTCCTATCTAGTCCTAAACTAGATAATCCCTAAGTCTACAATCAAATTTTAATCTGATCAGACCTAGACAATGTCAATATAGACACCTAAAACCTCTAATCAGACCTAACCAAACCTATTTTGACTTAATTACCTACTGATCAAACCTAGACTAAGCTAGACCAACCCAAATTTGACTTAAACCAGACCTAACCAAGACCTAAACAACACTTCCAGACTTATATCGACATAAGCCAGTCTACTACAGACCTGTACCCGCCTATTTAAGTCTAACCCGACCTCTTACCCAGCTAAACGAAGTCAAATCCAACCTATTCAGACCTATAATGAACAGAAAACATGAATCTATGACTGTCATTAGTTAAACCGAGATCTAATCAGGCGTATCTCTAGTGAATTTTCACTAAACCAAGCCAAATTAAGTACTAATCCGAGCTAACAGGGTAAGCTGATCACTACAGACCCTAACATACCCTTAACGAGTCCACTATGCCCTAAACCAGACACCATCAGACCTAATTTGGATTAACCTAACTCTAAACCAGTTAATTTTAGTCCTAATTGTACACTCCAGACCCTAAACCGATCTATTCTAGTCCTAAAATCACCAACTCAGACCCTAACCCGACCAATACCAGCCTTAACCGGATAAATCAGATCCTAATCAGACATCTATCAGCCTAAAACCAATATGATCTTACCTAATTCTGGACCCAATTGACCTAGACAGGACAATTCTAGCCCTAATTGGACAAACAGACCCTAAATTAGACCTAACCAGTCTAAACCGACCTTAATTGACATCCAATCAGACCCTATTGATCTAAACCGGATAATTCTAGTCCTACCCGGACAAATCAGACCTTAACCAAGACCTAAACCAGCCTAAACTAGTCTGAATTGACCTAAACCAGACTCAATTGACCTAAACCGGAAAATTGACCTAAACCGGACCTAGATTGACCTAAATCAGACTCAATTGACCTAAATCGGACCTAGATTGACCTGAATCGGTCAACTGTTGACCAAATTAGTCAACGAATTGACCAAACCGGAGTGAACCGGTCTGAAAGGGCCAGAATTGGGTATGAGTCGGCTTGAATCGGCTGGAATCCAGTCTGAACCGGGTCGAATCCGGTCTAACCACCGAGAACCGGACTTGAATCGAATCGAACCAGGTTCGATTGACCCAAACTAGGTTAAACCGAGAATTAGTTCGATTAAACCGGTCTGAAACGGTTTAATCCGAAACCCTAATTTCGGAAAACCCTAGCCCCCGAGTCAACCGAGTTAACTCGATTATTGACTCACCCGATTCCTCCACTAAACCCTAACTTGGATGAGTCGGGACCGAGTTTCGCCGAAATCGTGCTTTTTCCGCCGAGTTCACCGAGTTTCCTTTGAAAACTCGGACTCAAATCGGAGAAATTCCGGAAAATTAAAGAAAACTGAGTCAGAAACTTACCTGACTCACCTCGGTTCGAATCTGTCTTCACCGATTTTGGTCTCTGATGCTCCACCTTGACAGATCTGACTGCCAGCGAGCCCCAGGGTGTTAGCACTACCTCCCACCGTCGCCGATCTGCCTCCGTCGTTGACTGAAACACTTAAACAGAGCATCAACACGTTCACACAGACAAATCTGAAACCGAGAAACCCTAACTTACCTCGCCTGACCGGCGAATCTCCCTGGATCGTTAAACCGGGGCTCTGATACCACTTTGTGAAGTGGTACTGAACCCTCTCCAATCTCTTTGTCACTCGTTTGTGCAAGAACCGAAAGAACACCGAGGATTTTTACGAGTTCGGTTACTGAGTTTTCTCGGGCCTACATCTCGGCCGGACGGTGCCGGCGAATCCACTACAATAGAACGGAAACAACTGAGAAGAGTAACACGGCGGCCCTCCACATCAAGATCGGAGGCTCACCGAGAAACACCAAGAGAAGAGACACGAGATCCTTACTGATCTTTACCACGACTCACCTTTGGCGATCGTCATCGGTCCGAGCTTCGCCGTCGCCGGGAAGCTCCTCTGCCCTCGGATCTCCCTTCTTCTTCTCCGTTCTCCCTTTTCGCCTTCTCCGTCTCGAGCCCCGTGCTTCTTTTTGTCGAAGAACAAAAGATCATAGGGTACTAAACCCTAACACTGAAACATTGCGTTTCAGAGTGTCTCTCCCTCACGTGGAGGGTTTCACTTTTTTTTACCAAATGGATTGTGAGGTCCAACAGAGCATATACGATGAAAGATAAATCGGTCAATGTGTAGTGTACCTCTCTCTATCAAACGTAAATCGATTGAAGATAGAGGCTCCATATTAGAAGTGATGATTTCTAAAAAAAAATATATACAAAGGTCTTAGGAAAATCTTTTGTAAGAATGAATATCTTTTGACCGTTTGTTTATGGGATCCTAGTATTTTTTAGACAGTTTTTGAATGGATGTAAAATATATTTGATTTTTAATATAAATCATCGCTAACAAAAAAAAAATTGTGTATTTGCCAGATTGCATGTCAGCATCCCGCCAAAAAACAAAAAACTCAAATCAACCCTACCATGTGAGAAAACCCTATTTTAAAAAAAATATAAATATAATATATATATATATATATATATATAAAATAAAATTAAAAAAATATAAAATATATACATATATATACACAAAAATATATATAAAAATATTTATATATATATATATTACATGTGTATATATATGTATATACTATATGTATATATGTATATACATATAAACATGTATATATATGTGTGTTCAGATTTGCGGATTGTGAAGGTTTAAAAATGGATATTTTTAATATTTAATTAATTTTTAGATATTTTTTAAAGATGGAAGCTTTTAATTGTTTTAAGTAAATAAGGTTTAAAATTGATATTTTGGAGGCTTATCAAAGCCCATGGTGGTGCCGTTGGCCTTCCCAGCGAAGATGACATGGGCAATAGTGAAGTTGGCCACAATGCTCTTGGTGCCGGTCGCATTTTCGCTCAAGGGTTGCTATCTCCACTTCCTCTATCTGTTTCCGCTCCCTCTTTTATCTTTATCCGTTCTCTTATTTTTTCTCTCGATTCAGTGCTAAGCTTGTTGACACTGCCCTTGCTTCCGGGAAAATCTTTGATGGAGAGGGTTTCAAGTTCATATCTGAATCTTTTGACAAGGGCACTTTGCACCTCATCGGACTTCTGAGCGATGGTGGAGTCCACTCCCGCCTCGACCAGTTGCAGGTTTGTATTCTGTTGTATAACTTCTATCTTGCATAGATATATATGTTATAGGTTGGCGTCATTGATCTTTTTAATTTCTTTGGTGCAGTTGAGTGAGAGGGCGTGGCGAACAAGTCAGGCCCAGGCCCATTTAAGACACAATCAGCCCACTACCTTCTATCTAAGCCTATTTAATCTCCGCACTCAGACCAGCCATCGATCTCTGCTTCTTTCTCAACCCCAAAGTTCGATTTACTCTAGGATTCATCGGTCTGTCCGATTTCTATCACGCTCTTCACCAACAGGTTCTTCTTGTCCTTCTCCCGATTTCCTCTTTTTCTCTTCGTGTTTGCGTTGTTTCTTCTCGATTTGTTTTTGGATTCATTATACCTCGATCTGGTTGCTCGTTTATTGTATTTCGTTCTCGTTTCGTGATCTTTGAGTGCGATCTGGACATGAATTTTAGCTTCGGGTTTTCTCCTTTGTATCGTTTCCTCTTATGTTTATTATAGACTTTGAATCTGGCTTCTTCCATGCGTTAAGGCTTCGATTTTGTATCTGTATGTTCTGTTTTTTTTTTTACAGAGAATGTTAGTGACTTGTGCTGGATTTCGTTTCCTGGGCTTGGATTTTGATGATGTAATGCATCTGAATCATGGTTGTCGTTTAGATTCTTGGGTATTTCTTCAATTAATTTCAGAAATGGTTTTCCTTTTTTCTCGGCTCGAAATGTGTTTTTATGAGGTGATTACAATGTGTGCGATAAAATGCCTGAGAGAAACAAATGTTCTCGGAACTTTCTGATATTCTCAGTTCTTCCAAAAGCTGGTTCCATTTTATTAAATGAAAGTTTAAACACACTGATGATGAGTTCGATATTTTTTCAAGTGGGCAATGTATTATTCATTGTCCCTCATCGACTAATATATTTTGGAAAGATGATTTATCGTAACTACAGGAATATGTGTTCCGAGCAATTAATGAAAACTCATGTATACTTCATTTGATCCCGACTTTGATCCATTCGCCCGGCTTGATTGCTTGGGATGTTCGAAGAATCCTAGAAACTTTTTTATAGATTTTGCTGTCAAATTATTTGTTTGTTGATTCAGTGAAGTGTTCATTTGTCACCTTGACCCTTTAGACACTACGTACTATCCAGTCCGATCAGTTTTCTTGTGTTAGAATGAATTTGTGTCATGGTGATCTTGTTTTACTATCTGATATCTGATGGGTTTTCCCTCATTTATAAGTTCGGATTTGAACGACCCACATCTGTCTTGTCTGAAACCTTTCGAAAGAATTAGTGATCGTCGATCCTCTTTCTTTTTAGATTTAAATTTGATTTCCTCTTTGATCGGTTTGATGGTTGTATATGTATTTTCTCTGTTGTAGCAGGAGGGTGATATTGAATCAAATGTTTCTGCTGGGAACTTTGTATTCGTTTTCTGATTTTTGGTTGTTGGGTGTTAACTTGGGAATCATGAGATTCGTCACAAAAAACATTGAAAATTGTTTACGTAGCATCTTCTACACATGACCTGCATCATCCCGTGTCCTTTTTAATTATATTTTTGGCACCAAAACAATGAACTAAAGAAATAGGAACCTCCAAAAAAAATCATTTTCTTTGTTTAATAAGACTAAAAAGTAAATGGAACCATTAATAAAAGTATGATAGAAACGCTACCATGAAATAAAAAATAATTTAATAGGGAGAACCTTGGAATATTCCATCTCTGTGTGTAGTTGAAGGTTGAAAACCAAAGCCCAAAATGAAACCGTGGGACTTGATGCCTTTCTTAGAAAATAATTTAATAGTTCATCCCCTTCTTTAAAGTCTTAATCTGTGTTTGTCCGTGATTCAAAAACCTACCACCTTCCTTGCCTTTCTTTTTCCTTCTTGTTCTTTGGGATCTTCTTTTCTGTAAGTGGCAAAACTCCATTTTTCATTCAGATGTTGTTTTTATGGATCTGATCTGATGTGGGTTTGGTGTTTTCTCCACAGCAATGGGTAGCTCCACTGGCGATGTCAACAACTGGAAACTGGAAGACCATCCCAAGCTCCCCAAGGGAAAGCCAATTGCCGTCATCGTCTTGGATGGTTGGGGTGAGTCCGATCCCGATCAGTACAACTGCATCCACAAGGCTCCTACTCCTGCCATGGATTCCCTCAAGAACGTATGCTCCTTTCTTATATATCTTTCGTTTGATTTCGGTAGATTAGATTTACATTCTATGTATTGGGATTGCTCCTTTTGCAGGGTGCCCCTGATCGGTGGAGGCTTATCAAAGCCCATGGTGGTGCCGTTGGCCTTCCCAGCGAAGATGACATGGGCAATAGTGAAGTTGGCCACAATGCTCTTGGTGCCGGTCGCATTTTCGCTCAAGGGTTGCTATCTCCACTTCCTCTATCTGTTTCCGCTCCCTCTTTTATCTTTATCCGTTCTCTTATTTTTTCTCTCGATTCAGTGCTAAGCTTGTTGACACTGCCCTTGCTTCCGGGAAAATCTTTGATGGAGAGGGTTTCAAGTTCATATCTGAATCTTTTGACAAGGGCACTTTGCACCTCATCGGACTTCTGAGCGATGGTGGAGTCCACTCCCGCCTCGACCAGTTGCAGGTTTGTATTCTGTTGTATAACTTCTATCTTGCATAGATATATATGTTATAGGTTGGCGTCATTGATCTTTTTAATTTCTTTGGTGCAGTTGTTGCTGAAGGGTTCGGTAGAACGTGGTGCCAAAAGGATACGAGTCCATATTCTTACAGATGGCCGTGATGTTATTGATGGTACTAGTGTTGGGTTTGTGGAAACACTTGAGAATGACCTTGTGAAATTACGTGAGAACGGTGTTGATGCTCGGATTGCATCTGGTGGAGGTCGGATGTACGTGACAATGGATCGTTATGAGGTGCGAACCCATTTGGATTCTATTTTAGTTTTCTAAAGAATACCAGTTAAAACATTTTCGAGGTCTTATAGGTCAATTGTATACATGATGTTGCACTGCCCCAATAAGGATATTGGTGTAACTTGAGTTTAGCAAGTTTTACTTCTTGGCGGGAGTGAGATGAGGATTGTTTTTCTTTAAAACTTATTGTGCTTCAATTAGTGGTGTTTCTTTCTTCGAGATTAATCAAAGTCTGCTACTTGCCTGCAGAACGACTGGAGTGTTGTGAAACGAGGATGGGATGCTCAAGTTCTCGGAGAGGCTCCTCACAAGTTTAAAAGTGCTGTAGAAGCTGTTAAGAGGCTGAGGGAGGATACTGGTTGCAATGATCAATACTTGCCTCCATTTGTTATTGTTGATGATAGCGGCAAGGCTGTGGGCCCAATCGTGGATGGTGATGCTGTTGTTACTTTCAATTATCGGGCAGATCGGATGGTTATGCTTGCAAAGGCGCTCGAATATGAAAATTTTGACATATTTGATCGTGTGCGATTCCCGAAGATACGTTATGCTGGAATGCTTCAATATGATGGTGAGCTGAAGCTTCCTAGCCGTTATCTTGTTTCTCCTCCAGAGATTGACAGAACCTCTGGTGAATATCTGGTGCACAATGGCATCCGCACTTTTGCATGCAGGTAACGTCTAGCTTCCCTTAAAACTCTACCGTTTATTCTCCTCTATATCATGTCTCCTATCGTTAATTCCTATCCGGCTATCATTTTGTTATAGAGTTTATTCCTTTCATGGAAGATGTTGCATAGGAAAGAACAAAGTGTTCCATACTAACTGATACATGCAATGCAATTGTTAATGAACCAGTGAGACTGTCAAGTTTGGGCATGTCACCTTCTTCTGGAATGGCAACCGCTCTGGATATTTCGACAAGAATCTGGAGGAGTATGTTGAAATCCCTAGTGATAGTGGGATATCGTTCAATGTTAAGCCAAAGATGAAAGCCGTGGAAATAGCCGAGAAGGCCAGAGATGCAATCCTTAGTGGCAAGTTTGACCAGGTGGGTGGAGTCTTATCATCTTTATCAAACCTCGTAATCGTTACTAAAGAAGCTTCTATTCTGTGCCATCGTTCGTCTCTCTTTTTTTTTCAGACTTTATGCGTTTACTTTTCCAGGTGCGTGTTAACTTGCCAAATGGAGATATGGTGGGGCATACAGGCGATATCGAAGCCACTGTCGTTGCATGTGAGACTGCCGATGTGGCTGTGAAGGTATACATATATGATTTCCGATCTTTCCGGTCTCGGGTTGTGGAGTGTCGATTGTGAAATTGAAGCGCTTTTTCCCCGCTTGCAGATGATCCTCGATGCCATAGAACAGGTGGGAGGAATCTACGTTGTTACAGCGGATCACGGAAATGCAGAGGACATGGTGAAGAGAGACAAAGCTGGAAAGCCTCTTCTGGCAAAGGATGGGAGCCTTCAGATTCTTACCTCTCACACTCTTAAACCAGTAAGTTATACATGGGCATCGACACTACGACTAAGCATGCTCCTTTTATGAGTATTATGAAAACACGTACGGTTGCAGAATAACCCGGAAATCCTAACCCTAAACCCTAAACCCTGAATCATAAACCCTAAGAGTTGTTTTGTATGCAAACCGATGTAGGTGCCGATTGCGATAGGAGGTCCAGGTTTGTCGGCTGGTGTGAGGTTCAGGAAAGATGTTCCGACAGGGGGGCTTGCCAACGTGGCTGCAACCGTGATGAACCTGCATGGCTTTGTGGCTCCAAGCGACTATGAGCCGACCCTTATTGAAGTAGCGGATAACTGAATACATATACACATATAATTCATTGCCTTGGCCCTTGGGAATGAATGGCCTTTGATTTGAAACTCTCTATTTATATCGATTTTGAACATTTCGTCTACATCTTTGTCATGTAAACTGTCTCAACATTTCTACAACTAATAATTGAGCGTCAAAGGTTTTCTTCGATCGTCTTTGCGTTCTTAATAGTTGTTGTCAGGGGGTTTTGAATTTTGCAATGCAATAAATTCTCCAGGTCCAGACTTGGGACAGTCGATGATTGGGCAGACTGTATTTATATCCGAATTTCGGATACCGCGACTATCCACCTCACGGGTATTCTCGATTCGGGTATTCGGAAGAGACGTGTTAAACACGAGGATTGGTCGGGACGGAGAATATGAACCACGAGTCCGGAGTCCGGGTTCAAGTTTTGCCACCGCGTTAGGCATGAAAAATTACCAAGGTTTAAAGGCGTTCTCTCAAAAGTTTTGCCTCGCTGTCCTTCGTGTTAACCCTCCTCTCTTTCCTCCATCATCTAGCCCTCTCGCGTCCGTCCGCTCACAATTGCCTCGCCGGCCAGGTAACCACGATACCCTAACTCAGGTACCCAACTGTTGGAAAAGCCACTGTCGGGTAATCCGACCGACATATCAAAAAATTCGGATATAGGATCCATACCCACCGCTATGAACTAATCATGGTATTAGAAGGAAAGAGTCGTATTTACGACCATGAGAATCAACGTAGTTTATGGTCCGACCTAGATTTTCTGACACTACACAATCATTAGAGTGTATAAAAAAGAAAATTCAAGTATGTTAATGTACTTTTGGAACATAAGCAGGGAGAGATTCCATGTCAAATATTATTTTCATCACCAAAGTATGCAAACCGTACGGTACGAGGAGCTGACAGAAGCTTCTCCCACATAAGGAAACCTTAACCAAGGAGACATCAGATGAGAACTTACAGAAGTTGCACGGCCGCAATCGCGGGGATTTTCTCCCGCAGTTTCTGCGTGACAGCCACACGAACAGTCATGACTCCAGCCGCGGGTCCCGTGATTCTTATCTTCACGATTGGCTCCTCTATCTCCACGAGCTCCAGCGACCCATCTGCTGACTCGATTAGATAAGGTCTGATTTCTTCCAGCACCTGATAATATATGTTCACAGGCGACCGACTACTTGAGTCTTCGGTGTTTGCACAAGACATACTAGCTTACGTTAACCGCAAATATTTCGGTACATGGATCAACGTTCACAGCAATTACCTGTTCTATGTTTTCCTCATTCAGTTCAAGGCCAGTCTCTTCATCAGGAATAGCTTCAACAGCCACAACTTCGGGGATTTTTTCCATCAGACGGCGCTCAATTCCCATCTTCATCGTCACAACAGAACTCGGGCATGATCCACATGCTCCTTGCAACTTCACTCTCACAATGTTTCCATCAATCTCATGTAAAGCCACATTACCACCATCGGACATTAGATATGGCCGGACTTCGTCCAGAACACTCTCCACATTCTCTGCAGTCAGGGGTAATTCCACGACAGGGTCCGGAGTAGCCACCGCCTTCACAACTGTAAAGAGGTAGCAACACAGGAACAGTTGTATATACAAGTCGTACGTATGATCCACCAGAAACTAAGCTAAACCAAGATGAATAAATGGTATGGTATCATATGCATGGACACCAAAAGCTTGAAAGATTCAGGTATACTTTATTATACAAACATTGTTGGCTATCAATATGAGTAGACAAATTGAGGATTTCATTTCGAGATTACAACTGAACGTATCTGCCCAAATCAACAACCAAGAAACAGTTGTCCGGTCCACAGGAGAAACGGCTTTAAATCCGCGATAAGAATTTCAACTTGGAAGCGCTATTGACAATCATGAATGATCAAAAACAGCAAAATCATAACATCAACCTCAGAGCTTCCAAACTTTCAGGCAATCGAACTTGTCTGCACCAATCGATAATCGAGAACTCGGTCGCATAAAGAACGGTTTTGATCTAAAGGGGAAACCGAGTTAAATATCTGATAAAAATTACCATCCTAAGCTCTATCCACAATCACAAATGAGCTAGAACACTGAAACACGACATCAAACTTCCAGCCCAGAAATTGACTTCATTCAACTAGACAGCAAATTAACATCAACATCTCTACGTATGCCCAACCAAGGATTGGTAAAGAGAAATTTCTCACCTTGATGTCGCCGGAAAGGCACTTGGCTCCTGACAGATCGACATAAACCTCGTCGAAGTGGGTTACGACCCCTCGCGGACAGACCCTTAACTCCAACGGCTCTGGAATTCTGCTGAGAAATCGGATTCAATTCGCCAATCAGATCACAGAAACTCAAAGAACGATCAGATAGGTGCCAAGCAAACAAAACAACGAAGCCGAACGAGCGGAGATAGGAAATCGAAAGGCTAGGTAAATCAACGGTCACCTGAGCACAAAGAACGCGAGACGACGATGAAGGCGAAGAAGAAGGACGATCCAGGTTTCGCCGCGCCGAACTGCAACAAGCAGCTGGGTTCAACGCCACCGATTGCATCGCTGCCACTATTCCAATTTCTCTGTTGTTGGGTAGGCGGAATCGGTGGAAAAAACCCTAGCTTCAATCGGTTACCAAACCCAATTTGCGTCGGAGATTAGCCGTCGGCACCTGTTGTCGGAGGTTTTTGTTGTTCGTCGAGCGCTCGCTATAATTTGATGCTTCGTCAAGTCGGCTTATGGTCCATTCTTTTTTTCTTTTTTTTTTCATTCCCCATTTGTTTTCCTTGGAATATCTATTATATATATATTATTATATTTTTATTCTGCCCCAAAAAAATACTGATATAAAATTATAAAATAAAATTTTAGAAGTCTGAGCAAGTTTGGACTATTAAATAGAAAATTAGAATTTTATATTTTTACACTATTTTTTTCTTTATTTTAAAATTTTACAACATATTGATTAATAATCTATCTATATAATAATGTGTGACATTAGATACATTTTCAGATTTTTACATATGTATTAATTATGTGTCGTACTTTTCATATCATAAAGCTTTATAGCTTCAAACGTAAATTAATATGGAAAATAGCTTGTGCAATAAGTTAAAATGGTGTATTTCATGTTATTTATCCAGTTATTTTCTTAAACACTGTGTGATAATATAGAATTTGCACATCCTCGTATAGGAATTCTATTCGAAACTAAAATATATTATGCATGGCTGTGCATGATAAAACGCTTGGTTTATTGTAATATTTGTAAAATTTACTTATTTTGATAAATAAAAAAATCAAAATTAAAATTTTAAATCCCATATTTTACAAATATAACCTAACATCATGACAAAGGCCCTTGAAGTAAAATCAGAATTGGGCCCAAAATAAGGCCCTAATTCTTTTCTGTTGTAAAAAAAAAAAAAAAAAAAAAAACTCTGTTCATCCTGTTATTTACCCGATGAAGAATACAACTCTAATCAGTGTCCTCCTCTCTAGATCCTCAACCCGTTTTCTACCATGACCCGGCCTATTTCTTTCTTCGCTTTGATCTTCTTCTTCTTCTTCTTCCTCTCTTACCGTCATCAAGTTCTCGCTGCTTCTGACTTCGAAGGATTCGATGGCGAAGACGATGATGTCTTGGACGAGTCCTCCGAGCTTCACCACTCGATCCGTCCGCCTCCGGTGACTCAGTCCGAGTCACCTTCTCTGGATCTGGATCAACCCTCTTCCTCTGTCTCCGACCCCGACCCAATTCCCAACTCGGACCCTTCGGTTCAGTCCGATTCCCGGAAACCCTCTTCTGTTTCGTTCGATTTTTGGGATGAAGACGAGTTCGAGGGTTTACCGGTGGAGGAACCGGCCACGGAGACGAGGGAGTCTCCGGTTATCGCAGAGAAAGCTGCTCCCGCTGATGCGAAGAACCCAGATCAGGAAACTGCATCGGAATCTCAGGACAACGTTGTTGCGAGGAAGAAGTCGTCCTACACGGTGGAGATCATCTGCGTCTCGTTCTTGGTCACTTTTGCGATCAACTACTTCACCGGGAGACGAGAGAGCGAGAATCTCGCGTTGGCTTGGGCAGCGAAATTCGCGACCAAGGACACGATATTCGAGAAGAACTTCAGTTTGTTGGGTGTTGGTGAAGGAGAGGATTCGCCATTGCTGCTGAAGGAAGCTCAGAACGTGTTCAAGTTCTACGCTAGTGGGCGTAGGTACTGCCACGGATTGTTGGCGACGATGGAGCTCAAGAGCAGACACGATCTTCTCTCGAGGCTGTTCAACATGGTGGTCCCTTGTAAAGACGAGATCAGTTTCGAGGTTTATATGAACGAGGAAGCCATGGATCACGTCGTGTTTGCGGTGGCGAAGAAGAAGGCGGCGAAAGCGATGCAGAAGGAGCTCGGTGATCTGCAGAGATTCGCCGGAATGGTGTCTCCTCCAGGCGGAAGAAAGTGGGTTGCAGAGGAATTAGCTGTTTTGTCTGAATCCAAGGAGGTTGCTGGGGATTTGATCACAGAAGCTGTTCTTGATCAGGTGAGATGCTCTTCTCTCTTAGTTTAGCACTTTGACGATCAAAGACGATTGCTATATTTCCACCAACGTATAAACCAATCCGTTTCTGTTAATGGGTTGTGAAAAAAAGGTTGACTTTACAGTTTCATGTCGATCCCGTGTCTTTGAACAATGGCATGGCTTTTGGCAAGTCGTAGACCAGAGAAAGATATCTACTTATAGCTGCTCAAATCAGTATGCTAGAATTCGAAATTCGGCAACTTTCTCCTCCAAGATCTGTAGCAGTAGCTTTTTGTCTGCCTTTAGTCCATATTTGCGGGCATATCTCGCTGTTGAATCATTCAGAGAAAGTAATCAATGGCCCTCTAGGTTCTTCTCGTGGCAAGCCTGGATCTTAGAGACCATATATTTCTTAATGCAGTAGTCGAGTCGTGTTCAGGATAGTTTAATTTCTCGACCCTTTGGATACGCAATGCCTCTTGGATCTGCATTTTCGGTATAGCTTCTGCTTTGCTGTCTTTCAGAACTCGTGCTTTGTTTAGTTTATTAACACGAGGAGGAGCGTTAGCTCTGTCGGTTCTTTAACGATTTTCTCTCCTAATAATCATGCCGTGATGTTGAAGCTCTTATCCCGTCTTCTCTAATGTCTCCTTAAACTGATGGAACCGAACGTGTCGTCGTACTCTGTAGGTTTTCGGTGAAAAAGCTTTCGAAAAGTTCGGGAAGTATTTCATCTCGATGCATTTCTCTGACCAACTCCCCGGAAAACGCAGGAAAATGCTGCTTTTCAAGTTTGCCCTTCCCGACGCCAAACGTATGGATGATATTGTCCGGTTGGTGGCTCTTATCCCGTATTACATCGACTTGGTCGGACGCTACAGGCTGAGCTCCCAAGTAAACAAACCTAACCCTTAAGCTCTTGCATAGAACAAAACGCCGTTTTTTACGAGTGGGAGACTCCATGAGATTCTTTTTTTTTTTTTGTGATGAAGGCACGGAACAAGACCGAGGCTGCTAGGCAAAAGGCGGCTCAGGAAGCGTACAAGGAGCTTCAGAACGCGAGGCAAGAAGTGTTGCAGAGGAAGAAGGCGGAGAAGAAGAAGACAATGGAGGAGGCCGAGGCAAAGCTTAGCGCCGAGGCTCTGAGGAAGAAAGAGGCGAGAGAGCGTGCTCGCCAGATGAAGAAGGCGATGCCGAAAATGAAGATGACCCGTGGTCCGTAGAAGACTTTCGGTTTCCACAGGTAAAGCAGCAGCTTAGCAACCATTTATTGAACGGCCGCTTCAATCAATCAGGCTCGGCAAAACATCCCCTTTTTCTCGATGACATTTCTTCGGGAGCGGTCTTAATGTTTGTCGTTTGAGCGGCTTGTGCTCTCGTTTTGAACGGATTTATCGTTTTTTTCGCTCTTTTTGCGAATCTTTTCACTCGGATTTCGTTCCTTTTTTCACTCGTAAGAATGTCACTGAAACTGTGTTTGCAATACCCCGAGACCTCTTTAGACAAAACATAACTCAAGAGTTTTGACGCTCTTTCATGTTCTTTTCACTTGCCAACCTAGGAACAACTATGGTTAGTGGTGATCGTTTCGGTTATAGTTATTTCGGTTATAAAAAAAATATAACCATTCGATTTTTCTATCAATTTCGGTTCGTTTCGATTTTATTTTGTTGATAAAAAATACATTTTGAAGGAATTTTTTGATTTTTTCGATTCTTTTTTAGTTTAAACCGTTTGGTTTTTATATCGGATTCGGTTCGGTTCGATTATTCTCACCGTTAAATTCTTAGTTCAAAATTAGGGTAAAACCCCTAAAAAACCTCCAACTTGTAAAAATATATACAAATAAACCTTCAACTTGAAAAACTATCATTCAATCCCCGAACTTGTAACTTGTCATTGAATAAAACCTCGAACTTGTAAATTATTGCTCTAATAAACATTTGACCGGTTTGACCACAATTTCAGGCGATCGGAAATCCACGTATTAACGGATTGCTGATGTCACCTTATACATGTTATCAATTTTAGTTTAAAAAATGACATCAGCAATCCGTCAATACGTAGATTTCTGATCGTTTGAAATTGTGGTCAAACCGGTCAAAGATTTATTAGAACAATAATTTGCAAATTCGAGGTTTTATTCAGTGATAAGTTACAAGTTCGGAGATTGAATGATAGTTTTTCAAATTGAAAGTTTATTTGTATATATATTTTTGCAAGTTGAAGGTTTTTTTTGGATTTTACCCTCACAATTATTACAACCCCAAAAAGTAACTACAAATTTACAAGTAGCACTCGCAATAGATGGAAGCAAAAGCATAATCCTTCACTGTTTTCAGCGCCCTATCTACGTGAAGAACAAGGGCCCATCCGCCTCCAGAAGAAAGCCAAGCTGCTTCCCATCACATTCATTATCACCGCCGACATCGCCGCCGGTAAAGCCACCAACGCTGATGAGAAATGGGCCGTCGCCAAAACCACCCCCAACGACGAATTCTGCATTCCCACCTGCCACGACAGAGAAAAAAGTCTAACGTTTCAAATGAAATCTCGCACCGAGATCCTTTCGGTGTTTGGACAACAGATTCAGAACTCGGGTTCTGACCACTTGCAAACTCGAAGTTCATGTTTCGGATTTTTTTTGTCGTACAACAAAAAAGATTTAGAGAAAGGGGAAGGGTACCTCGATTGACACTGCGCGCCGCTGAGGTTCTCGAAAGCCAGCGACCGCTGCTGCTACGTACCTTCGATTTCACGACGTAGTGAAAGTCAGCGAGATATGAGGACCGCTGTTTTGTGTCGGAAAGGCGTAAGAAAGATCGGA